AATGATGTAGGTTTAAATGACCAGGCACCCCCCCTTTTTTTTAGCTAAAAAGATTAAGATGGTTGTTATTGAGTTTAGATGACACATTTTGACTCTGCAACACAAAAGACTTTGTGTATCCTTATGTCATGGGTACTCAACAATACCCATCTAGTTTTACTTGAGGCTTTTCTATACCCTATTATTTGTTGGCTTTTTCTTGAGCAACTACCAGAGCTTCAAGAATTCCCAATTTCTTCAAGTATTCACTAACTGAGGGTAACTAAAACATTAATGACTGATTGCAGATAACCCACAGTACTTAGGCTTGGAAATGGTAAAGAAAGGACATGTAAGGAGGAACATTTAAAACAAAACAACAAATACAGATGGTAGTTCAGCATACCAAAAAGCAACATTTAAATCAACAAGTACATATTTTTGATGTGAAGAAATGAATCCTAATGCCTTTCTCTGTAGTCCTATCCTTGTATGAGGGACCCTACCTGGTTTCAGCAGCATGTGAAAATGACAACAGTATTTTGTATCCATGTAACAGAGACCAGTGATATCAACAGAGCTTTACATGGAGATCTCTGGACTGTGATGAAGGTCCTCTTAAGTTCCTGCTAAAACATAATGGGATTCAATTTCAGGAAGCCCATCATGTCTCCTTCTTCCTACACGTGTCCCAGAGCTTAGATGACTGAAAATTCCTAAATAGAATGTTGTCAAAGGAGGGGAGGAATACAAACACGGAAAGTGACTGGCGTGTGTGTGTGTGTGTGTGTGTGTGTGTGTGTGTGTGAGGGTTGGTTGCCTTATGTTAAAAGGCTTATCTTAGTCTATGTATTTGCACAGCGATTTTACAAGTTCATGTTAGTTTCAGCAATGGACGAACCATCCCTCCAAGGTTAGTGCCATGAATAAAATCACATAGTAAATGGGGAGCCGGGGTTGGAGCCCTTTCTGTGCTTTTGGTTACTGGCCTGTCTTCCAGCACAAATGGCCAAGATAGGTCATTGCTCCCAGCTACTTCCAGAGCCCATTTTCTTTACTCCGCCAGACAGCTATTAACAACTACTTCTTGCAGTTACCCTTCATCCCTTGCTTAATGATTCTCATAGGTATGCATTTCTCACAAATGACTACTTAAGCTTATGTTTTTCAATAAGTATCTAAATATTAACCCCACCAGAGAAATATGTTCCTATTTTGTTCTCTTTCCTAACCCTGTAGCTACCATGATGAGATCATTTGCGATTTTGGTCATAAACAATTGTTAAATTAAAAAAACCCCACACTAATAACTTGATATAGCCACTTTTTCCTTTGCTTTCTACGACCTTTATTTTCACTGTATTTTATTTTTGATTGTTTTGGAGATACACTTGAGAAATTATTTCAGAAAAGGTGAATCAATAAGCTTTTCTGCCTCCTTGATATCTGAAAGTGTCTTTATTTTGTTTTTGAAGTTTGGCTGGAATAGGATTCTACGTTGAATGTTAATTTTTCCTTAGAATCATGAATATGGTACCTCCACATATTCTAGCACCCAATGTCATGATTATAGATATTCAACTAATTCTGGCTCATTCGATCAGCCTCCCACCCTTCCTCCCTGGAAGTATTGAGGATTTTCTTTGTCATTGGATATAAAAAATTTCACGTGGACATGTTTTGCTGTGGTTCTTTTATTCACTTTGCTTGACAATGAATTATCCATGTGTTTTTCAGCCCTATGGAATTTTCCTTGAGGCTTTTTATGGTCTTACTTCTTTTCTATTATCTCTTCTCATCCTAAACCAGATAGATGCTAAAACTCTTGAATCTGCCCCTCATGTCTTTCTCTCTCCCTTCATGCTCTCTGTCTTACTTTTTGCATAGCATTCTGGGAGAAGTACTTGATCCTCTAGTTCTTCAATTCATTCTCAGCCATATTCATTCTATTTATATAACTTTTAAAAAAAATAACTAAATTTCAGGGCTGGGGGTGTAACTTAGTGGTAGAGTGTTTGCCTGGCACATGTGAAGTCTTGGATTTGATTTGCAGCCCTGAATAAGATCTGTATGTATACACATTTGTAATCAACACATATTATATATATATATTATACTATCACACCATACCCATAAATATGTACAACTCTTACATGTTCATCAAAAAAATTTAGAAGAATGTTAAAGGAGATGAAAATGTTAACAGTTTTAATGTTAAAATTAAAAATGATTCTTATATACATTAAAATGTTAACAACAAATGTTTAACAGTTTATTGTTAATGTTTTTAAGGTATGTAGTGTGTGTGTGTGTGTGTGTGTGTGTGTGTGTGTGTGTGTGTGTATAATATCACAAACTGGGTGTCTTAATCAACAACTATTTATGTCCTCACAGTTCTAGAGGCTGGAAATCCAAGATAAAGGCGCTAGCAGGACCGATTTCCTCTCAGGCCTCTCTTCCTGGCTTGGAGAGGCTCATTCTTGTGCTGCCTCTTCACATGATTTTTCCCTCTCTGTGCACATGTCTGGGCTCCTCTTGTCTTAATCTTTAGTCAGATTCGATCAAGACCCACCCAAATGGATTCATTTTGCCTTAATCATTCCTTTAAAGGCCCTGTATTTACAAACACATTCCATGGTAACTAATGATAAACTTTACTTTGAAGGGCTTCCCCCCTGGATTTTGTTTTCTCAGATGTTAGTTATTCAGTTGGTTGGACTTGGTACCATTTTTTTGTTTTGTTCTTATTCAAATGTTTGGTAATTTTTGTTTGCTTCTATTTGCTTGAGGATGCTGATTGTGGTAATTGTAGTTCACCTCCAGAGACTATTGGAGAGTTGGAGTGCCCTCTCTGGTGAGAGGTGTTATATAAGGTGACTGACTACCTGTTCCTCTTAGGATATATATATATATATTTAAAATTAAATCAGAGTAGTTAACATTTCATCTTGTTTAACATTCTTCTAACATATAATTGATGAACATGTAATAATTGTTCATATTAACATGTACAGTATGATGGGTTCAATACATGTGTACAATATATGTTGATTAGTTAAGGATAACTAATATTTCCATTTCCTTATCATTGCTTTGTATTTGGAGATTTTGCCTACTGTTTTTTAATTGTTCATAAAATATATGTTAGGTTACTGTGAACTCTAATCTCCCTGCTGTCTATCTATAGAGCCCTAGAACTTATTACTTCTACCTAATTGTGTTTGGATACCTGTGTTCATTAGCTTTCTGTTGCTGTGACAAAATAACTGAAAAAAAAAAAACAACCTAAAAGGAGGATAGATTTAGTTTTCTCATAGTTCCAGAGGTTAAAGTCTATTTTAGTTAGTTTTTTATTGGTGTAACCAAAAGACTCAACAAGAACAACTTGAAGGGTGAAAAGTTTATTTTGGCTCCTCGTTCCGTCTATGGTTGACTGACCCCATAGCTCTTGGCCCGAGGTGAGGTAGAAAATCATGGTAGAAGGGTTTATCAGAGGAAAACAGCTTAGGATATTCAACAAGAAAGCAGAGAGACAGAGAGCTCCACTCACCAAGAACAAAATGTAAACCACAAGTGCACGCCCTCACTTGCCTACAGTTACCACCCACTTAATTCCTATCACTGGATTAATCCACTGATTAGGTTCAGGCTTTTATAACTAATCATTTCACCTCTGAAAATTCTTTCATTATCTTACACATGAACGTTAAGATAATAGCTCTTAGCTAAACTGAACACAGTCTATGTTTGCTTGGCCTTATCACTTTGGGCCTGTGGTAAAGTAGATATCATGGTAGGGGGCACAGGGTGGAGCAAGCTGCTTGCATCAAGACAACCAGGAAACAAAGAAAGAACTTTTTTTATAATAAAGCTCCTCCTCTAAAGTCTATTAAGCAATGAATCCATAAATAGATTAATTCTTTTATGAGGTCACAACCTTCATGATCCAATAACTTCCAAAAATCTCCACCTCTGAATACAGCTGCATTGGGGACCAAACCTTCAATACATGAGATTTTGGGGGAACATTCAAGATCCAAACATAATAATACCCTTTTCCCAACCTCCTCTGCCCTTCCCAGGCTGTTGTAATCTACTATCATATAATCCAATCAATTTTTAAAAAATCCACATATGAGAGAGAACGTAAGGCATTCATCTTTCTGTATCTGACTTATTTTACTTAGTATAATGTCTTCAAGTTCTATCCATTTGCTGCAAATGATATCATTTTTTTATGAGTGAATAGTATTTCATCGTGGATAAACCACAGTTTATCTATTCACTTTTTAATGGACATCTAGGTTGATTCCATATCTTAACTATTGTGAATAGTGCAGCAGAAAACATGGACATGCAGATGTCTCTTTGATATGCTGATATCATTGCCTTTGGACAGATACACAGAAGTGGGATTCCTGGATCATATGGTACTTCTGTTTTTGGTTTCTTAAGGAATCTCTACACTGTTCTCTATAGTGGCTGTATTAATTCAAATTCCTATCAATGGTGCTTAAGAGTGCCCTTTTTTCTCCACATTCTCATCAGCACTTGTTATTTTTCATCTTTTTGATAATAGCTATTCTAACTTGAGTAACATGGTGTTTTATTGTGGTTCTGATTTGCATTTCCTTGATGGCTAATGAAGTTGAGAATTTTTTCACCAATTTGTTGGCTGTTTGTCTTTTTTTTTTTTAAAGAGGGAGTGAGAGAGAGAAGAGAGAGAGAATTTTAATATTTATTTTTTAGTTCTTGGTGGACACAACATCTTTGTTTGTATGTGGTGTTGAGGATTGAACCTGGGCCGCACGCATGCCAGGCAAGCTACCACTTGAGCCACATCCCCAGCCCGGCTATTTGTCTTTTAAGAAGTGTCTACTCCTATCCTTCCATTTTTAAATTGGGTTATTTGTTGTTAAGTGTTTTGAGGTTTGTCATGTGTACTGGATACCAATACTTTGTCATGGGAATAGTTTACAAACTTTTCCACATTCTGTAGCTGGTTGTTGTTTACTTTTCTACCTCATCATACCATCAATTGAAGCAAAACAACATAGCCTGATGCCGTTTCATCCAAAAGTGGTGTTTGCGTTCTGCCCTTTCTTGACTACTCAATGGGTCACTAGTAAGAAAGTACATTAAGTGATTTTAAAGGGGGGTTGGTTCAGATTTTGCCTGTGCCTGGGGCCTAGAAATGATATTGGTGCTTTAGCCCAGTTGCCAATGTCTCTCTTGGGCCAATCAACCTAGCATTTCAAAGCTGCCTTCAGACCCTTCCCTGCCACTTTGTCTGCCAATTCCAGAACTTCCTTAGCCACATGTCGCCTCCTGCATATGTTTTACACTGAGACTTTTTTCAGTTTTGAAACTCCAGAGATATGATTCTGTCCCCTTTACTACCTTTCAGAGATTCCCCAAAGTATTTTCAGATGGCACACTGTCTTTTCTTCCAAATGATAGTGAATTTATATTCTTTTAATATTTTTTAAGCTTTTTATAAAATTTGGGATGAGTAATTACATATATATGTGTGATCAAATAATATTCCTTCTAAAATGTGTATCAATGTGAAATGAACCTGGAAATGCTGTTATATTATCATTCAATACCATCCAGTATTGCAGTGCTTTAGTATCTCTAGCTATTTAATACCATCAATACCTCTAGCTAGACCGAAAGTAGCTGTTAGCTAATGCCTCCAAATCCTCATTTCTGTCTTCATACTGTTTTTGTCTCAATATCTTTTCCTAAATGTCTTCTCTGAATCAATCTTAAGATTTATTCTTCTTTTTAAGAAACCATGTAATTAAATGTCAATATTAACCTGTTAAGGGTCTAAAGTTCTAAGGAAAAGATGGATTTTATTTTAGATATGTGGTGTTTGAAATGACTAAATACTAAATACACAGGAACATTATGCAGCCAGTTGGAGATGTGGTGTTTTCACATCTCCACCTAATTTATGTTTTTAATCTCCACCTAATTTATGTTTCTGGGGATTGCTGTAAAAATCCTTTGTTCTCTTACTTTCCTAACAATCTGAGAGACATAACTGTGTCTTATGGGAAGTTTGGGGAAAAAAATATTATCATTCTACCCTTTGTGGCTGATGCTTGGAGGACATCCAAGTAGCCCCCAAATCCATCTAATTCCATGAAAGGAGGATCAAAAATACAGAGTGACTAGAGAAGCACAAAGCTAATCTGCACTGGGTCTGAGAGTCCTAGGAAGGGACTCTGACTCCCTGACCATATATAGAGTGGAGGTAAAGCTGCTCTCATTTGAAGTTCAAAGAACAAGGTAACCTCAGTGAACATAACACTGACTTCCATCGTACCATTCCATTTATTCATGGAAATCCTACTATTAATTGATGTCATATTATGTGATAGAGATTCAGAGAGTAGCAAGGCAGTTGTATTTGCAGCCAAGTAATTCACAACCCAGTGAGAGTCTGACATGTAGTCATACATGTATAGAATCACTACAGAAGAGATGTCCTCAAAGGGTATTCGAGGAGGAGTGGAATGGGGAGGATAAGCCACTCTCAAATCTCTACCCACTCTGTGGATTTCCTTTGGGTTGGAATATGCCAAAGTACTGTATACACTTCTGGACTTTTGTTTGGTTTTGGCTGACTCTGTGGAACACTGATTGGTATGTATTGCACAACTTTTTTTTTTTTTTTCATGTAAGTGACTTAATCTTGGGTTTAGTGAAAATCTCTCCTATGATTCCTCCTCCAACTTTCCACCAACAATAGCTTATACATTGTTATTTGAATTCTGGACAAATGTCTCTTTGGCAGACTAGGTGTGGAATTGATTCATGGTTTCCATGAGGGAGCAGTTATGATTACAAGAAGTATGAACAAGAACATAGACAAGGGAAACAGGAAGACTAAACTGAGTCTCTGAAGGAAAATCACCACACTGAGAAGACTGTGAAGGCATGAGTCTTGATTTCTTAGGAGTGGTTTTGGCTATGGGTCATCAAGGGAAGAAAAACGTGCTGGATATTGTTTATTGGTTTGAAACATTATTCTTGTTCTTCCAAGTTCTGCCTTGCATTGTGAGGCTGGAATACAAAAAAATTGCATTCCCCAGTTTATGTAGTGAGCCATTTCCAGTCTTGATTCTCCCAGTGTGAAGAATTTGTATGAATTTGAGAATGCAGAAAAAATGGAATCACTGACCTTTGGTTGCAGTGGCAGGTAGATGAATGAACACAGGATAGAAATGAAGTTTTGGAGTGGTGATTGGTTGACCTCTTGGAATCAGCCCCTCTGCTGCTAGTGGAAATTTCTCGAGTCTTATTTCTATGACTTATTGGAATGGATGCTTCCATGACTGTTACTTCCTTAGTCCTTTTCACAATTTTGTACATCTTTCTGTTATGTTATTTTAAATTGGCTGAAATCCCTAGCAAAGCTTCTGTTTTCTTGATGAAACCTTGACTAAATAAAGGGAAATAAAGGCTGTTTCTTGAAATGGCGGGAAATATGTGTGTACCATTTGTGGAATCTAACCTAGCTCCCTGCCAGAGATGACTTCACCAGGAATTAGAGGTGTGGATCTTTTACATGGAGAGGAGCACATTTCTGGCAGGACAGGGCATTGAGACTAGACAGACATATACTGAAAACATCTGAACATGCTTCACAGACACAGAAGCTCCAGGTTACCCAGACTTGTGGGGCTCTATTACATAGCATTTTAGTAGCCATGTGAACTGTAAAACTATATGGAATATCAAAGCATTGATAAAATTCAGGGAAATTCATAACAAGATATTAATAATCATTCATGGTTTGGGTCGACTGCTACTCATTCCTTGAAATGTTTTCTTGAGTAATTGAAAGTTGAAACTTTATTTCGATGGCACTCATGATAGATGCAACTCCTTAGGAATGAAACTCGGTAGTAGCTTTCTACTACATTTGCAGCATAAAACTTTGAAGCAAGAACAAAAACAAAAACAAATAGACTACAAGAGATTTTTCCCTGAACAGTAATGATTTCATCCAAAAAGCAGGAATTATTTCCTCATTCCTGAATACTTAATGTCTGTCAGTCTTGTATTAAGTCACTCTTATATGGCTTGCTGTGAGACTTCCAACTGGGGGCACATAAAGGAAGTTATGTGTGTCTTCAAGAACTTGAATTATTTATTGGCCTTTGCAAAAGCAAAACTGTGTTCAGGTGTAGGAAAACTGCATTCATTCCTATGTGTACTTCCAGTTGTAGTTCATGCCTGCTATCTCCTCTTGGAGCTCAGGATTTCTCTGGCTAGGATCTAGTTGGAAGATTTCCTCTTGTCATACTTTGCTGCTTAAAACCCTTCAAGTAAGTAGAGCATGAAATTTAGTAACCTGTCCCTGGAGATGGTCTGTTATTAGGTGTCTATATTCCTTATAATGGGGTCTGAGTTTATCTGTCTACACTTGAAACATGTTTTATTCATCTCTCTCTCTGAACCTTTGCTTACTGTATTCTTAGATCATTTATTGTGTTAATCTGGATGCTAAGCTTTCTTCAAAGTCTAATCTCGATGTCTTGTTCTTCAAACGATTTCTTTATTTCATACTACTAATCAGCAATTCCTCCCATCTTTTAATGTTACAATGTATATGTCTCCTCTACAGTGATAGCAAATTCCTCTAGGATAGTCCTTTGAAGATATAAATCTTATTTTTCTTTATTATACAGTTTTAGCACAAACTAGCAAAAGTGTATATAGAATTTGCTGAATGTAATGAAGGTTCTTGAGTATTGAAAAATGAGTTATCTTGATGAACATTAATAAAATCATTGTCTTAATTAAAATATTAAGTTCGAATAATTCAAAATATTTTTTAGCTAAAATATAAAGATCAAGGAGGAAGAAATAAAACTGTCTGTATTTGCAAATGACTTGGTTGTTTACATGAATAATATTAAAGGATTTACAAAAACAATTGCAAGAACTCACACCACAAGGTCACAAGACACAGGGCTAATATTAAAAATTATTTTATTTCATATACTCACAGTAAATAAATGGAAAATAAAAAAGTGGTTGCATCTATAATAACATCAAAAGTATAACATATTTGGAAATAAATCTGTAAGATCTCTATGCTATAAACCACCAAACACTGCTGTCGTTTCACTCAGTTCCCCTCTGCATGCTCCTGTCTGTGTCCACACTCCCCCTTTTATAAGGATAGCAGTCGTCTTGGACTGGGGTTCCACTCTACTCCATTGCGACCTCATCTTAACTGATTACATCTGCAACAGTCCTATTTCTAAGTTGCACTGCGAATTACTGGGGGTTAAAAATTCAATATATCCTTTTTGAGGGTGCACAACTCAATCCATGTTAGGTTCCTGCAAAAATTGTCCACCAATTTTAACTGGGTTAAAAGGATATTCTTACATTATAATCATGTTACATACAATGTGTGATATTTTTAAAAAATATTTTTATTAGTTATAGATGGACATAATGCCTTTATTTTATTTTTTATGTGGTGCTGAGAATCGAACCCAGTGCCTCACACATGCTAGGCAAGTGCTCTACCACTGAGCCACAACCCCAGCCTCAAAGTGTGATATTTTACACAAACCAGAATATTAACTTCCTTAAACCATTCCATTGCACATCTGAATGAATAAGCGCTCATAATTCTCTGTCTTGACAACAGTTCCCTCAGAAAGGACATGCAGAAGACTTCAGGAGCCTCTCATGCTGACCAGGACAGTCAGTGTGGAGGCCCTGGAGATGTAATTCCTGGAAATCAGACCCGGATTCCATGAATACAGCACTTTACCAAATTTGTAGATAACAGTTGAACAGCTGATTCATGCTTCTGGATTTTTTGGAAAACACACTACGTCACAGTGTACATACTGATGTCTATACTCAAAAACAAGTGAGCAGAAAGCTCCCCCAAACTGCTGGGGAATCAGCATGGGCAGAGACACTATGTTCTGCTGGGTTCTGGGACAACCTCAGTGTCTACTTTCTGTTAAAGTTTTGCTTGTATTGGTGTCACATCATTTTTCATAGCCAAATACTTTAAAAGCATGTAGACCTATAAACACATTCCTTTCAGAGACAAGAAAGCAAAACTTTCAAAACAATGCAAAGTCATGCCAAAGTGCCTACAGAGATATT